CAATAGCCGCTTGCATCACCGGCGATGGCATGCCACTTCATGACCCCATATCCTGCAACCGTACCCAACAAACGGGATCAATTTATTTCGTACTACGTGTACACATACAACAGACGAAAGACCGGAACATAGTAAGTAGAAACTGGAGGTGTAAAACTTTGATAAGAGTGTAGACACGTGGGATGGAAAGACAATATCAAAATCGACGAGCAACTCAGGCACCTGAAGGTAGACGGCGTCAACAATGATACAACGATACAGCAGTTGTAACTCACCGAAGCCGTAGAGTGTCTTTCCCGAACGCTTCAGAGCATACACAACGTCGAGGGCAGTCACGGTTTTGCTGTCAAAAAAGCATCAGCGTCCAAACCAGCAAAGAGCGCACGGACCACCTCCGACCAGTATACTTGGTAACAGACCAACACTATCGGGGAGCCAGAACACAACATCGAGTATATCCACTTACCGCTTCGCGTGTTCAGTGTATGTCACAGAGTCGCGGATAACGTTCTCGAGGAAAATCTTGAGAACACCACGGGTCTCCTCGTAGATGAGACCAGAGATACGTTTTACACCACCGCGACGTGCAAGACGACGTATAGCCTACGAAAATAACGGACGACGAATGTGGAGTTCAACGGTCCCAATCATAAGCACACGGGGTAGGAGGAAGCCAATGGAACAAATCAGATCAGTACAGACTCACAACGAAGACGACAAACACTCACGGGCTTGGTGATACCCTGGATGTTGTCGCGAAGAATCTTACGGTGGCGCTTGGCACCACCCTTTCCGAGACCCTGGATTCCAATAGTCAACGTCAAGCTTCACGCAACAGCTCGATGAAAAAAAAAGAAAGATGGCGCTGACGAAACAGCTCCAACTCAGCATGCAAACGAGCCGATGCAAAACGGGCACAAGGGTAGTACACATGTCAAGCGCGTCACGTTAACACGGTAGGAACTATGAGCCGTCACTCGTGAACAAGCGGCCAACATCTGTCCTGTTATGCACGCAAGTTTGAACGATCCAATGGCACGCAGATCGAGCTGGAATAGACGCGTCGAAACTCGAATGTACCTTTCCACCTTTGCCGCGTCCAGACATAATTCAATATAATGAAAAGCGAGAGTTGAGAAATTGGGAGCACTACAACTGGTGCAAAGAAAGAGACGCGCTATGTGTAAAGATTGAACTGATGGTGGTGAGAAGCAAGCCGCAATTGACCGTATTGGGGTATTTATACGCGGTGCGACAGCACGTGATGTCCTATCAACAGCCCACGATCGTGAGTCAGAGACACCGTGTCTAATGAGTCACGGGCTTAGCCACGCACTCTCCTCCTCTGAAGACCGTCAGTGGCTTGTATTTTTGTGCTGTGAATAATTCTGGGCGCTTATTTCTCGTAACTGCAATAGTCTCGCGGTTTCGCACATCTGCCAGCATTAGCCATGTCGATCACGCACCTCACATCTGTCTCGCAATTAAACAGCATACTCGCCAAGTCAGCTGGAAGACTATCTGTGCGTTTCTAGTCTGTTTCATGTTGAAAATTTGTATTCCAACAGCTGGCGCTTTCTTCGCATGATTATCTGTGCTTTTCAAACCAACAATAATTGTTTGCGATGTTTTATGCAATGCTTCTGTCAGGTTATTGATTTCCATGCAACATGGTGAGTGCGTAAGGCAACCACATCCTCACACCTACTTATCGTTGTGCAGGTGTGGCCCATGCCATGCTATCGCGCCTGTCTACGAGTCGCTCGCGAAGCAATACCCCAACGTGAACTTCCTCAAATGCGATGTCGATGCTGCGAAAGATGTCGCAGCGATGTATAACGTATCCGCCATGTGAGTACGCCTTTCACTGAACTTGCCCACACGCCCTGCAACGAGTTGGCTCGAATATGTGCTGACGATGTCTTTACCAGGCCAACATTCGTATTCCTCAAAGGCGACACGAAAGTCCACCAGATTCGCGGCGCTGACAGAAGGTTCGTACCAATCATCTGCCGTCTCATCTATAGCATTGACCCAGATTTATTTCCACAAAAGTGGCCTTGAAACCGCCGTGCAACGGTACTCATCAGGTTCCGCTGCCGGTGGGGCAACAGCTGCGTTCTCGGGCAAGGGTCAGACGCTTGGAAGCGCTACGACGGCGGGAAATAACGGTAAGCCCCACACCTTCGACTGAACTCCCTGCGTGATTCTGGTTGTTGTTTCTCTGACTTATTCGTCTTCCACCAGGAGCCGGCGCGGCTGCTCTCAACACACCTGGTTTCTTGTCCAACATAGATCCCAACACGAAGCTCTTCCTCGGTCTCGTGGTTGGATACTTCGTGTTCTGGTACCTCAGTTGAACGGCCTGCCATATCACAATGCTGGAGGCTAGCGGTTGAATCTACTTAGAAACGGCATTGGACATGTCTGCTGTATTCTTTATAATTGTGTTTGGTTTGAATTGTGCTCGAACGGATACGTGCTCGCATTTGTAGCGTGATGAGGTCCTCCACTATGCTGGAGCGGTTCACAAAAAAAAAACACAAATTCTAAGTCCAACCAAATATCTAATTAGGTAAGTAATGAGTGTAAAATGAACTCCAATGGTATTATGTCACCGTTCATCTCAATGAGGACTCGCATACAATATGTCCGAGCGATGAAGCACAGTTTTATACATACGTGCGCTCAACGCTTACCACAACAATGGTCCTATAGCATACGCGATCACAAAACCGAGTAACATCAGGAGGACGACCTTGAGCGTATCCGCGCTCGCAACGGGACCCGTGCCAACCGCCTCCTCCAGCGCGGCTTCAAACTGTCTCGTCATCGCGTCCATGCCAAACACGTCGCGAGCCCGTGCATGGGCGCGCACGCTGAGGACAGCTCGCTGCTCCGAAGGTAGCGCGACGATCTCCCGAAGCACAGCGGCCCAGGCATCCGCATCCGGCGGGCGCAACCAGCCAGTGCCCGAGTTTCCTATTCCCATGTCGATAATAGTCTCCGTCGGCCCACCCGAGTTGCACGCAAGCAGGGGCAGACCGCAGTACATCCCCTCGATGGGCACGATCCCAAAGTGCTCGTTCGTTGGCGTGTACAGCAGCGCGCGCGTATGCGGGCTGCGCAAGAGCGCCGTACACTGCGCAGCGGTGAAGTTGAGGAGGAAGAGGAGCGGCGGGTCGGAAATGGCATGCGTTGATGATTTCGGGGACGGCAGTGAAGGGGAAGACGCAGAGGATGTCGGTATGTCGAGGGAGACAGGGGAAGATTCAGGCCAGATGATCTCGTAGTCCAGCTGATGCTTCCGAGCAAGAGCAACGAGATCGGTCAAGGTGCTGACGTTGTCGTTCAGCCGGGGATCGTAGCCGCCTGTGTATGGGATGGGGTTGAACCGTTTCATTTTGAGAATCAGACCAGTTAAATGACAACATTGCAGGCAAAAACTCACCACCCAACACGAGCCGCATGTCAGAGGCTGTTGGTGTGGTTTCAAGTAGTCTGGTGAACGCCTCAATCGCAAGTGCTGCATTCTTCTTCCTTTCAAACCGATTCATGGATAGAAATGTCGACTTTGATCTGAGGCAGGCGGCGGATTAGTTATAATGCAATCCTTTGACGCGAGATTCTCGAATTTAAAATGATCAAATAAAATGTGAAGGGATAAATGGCAATGCAGAGATAGGCTTGAAACGGGGCATGAACAACGGTGCAGAAATGTATGACGCTTACGATGTGATTGCGACGACGTCAGGATCTGACATGTCGACTGGGACGTCGTACGCTTCACCGTTGATTCCTGGATATACAACATGCGCGCCTTGCTTTATTGATGGGAAGAATGCCTTGAACTGTCGCGCGCTGAATTTAGAGTTCGCCAGGAGCACGTCAACCTGTCCTACAAAAAGAGAGCACGGTCTTGAGTGTGACACACGCAGGAACATGCACAACAGTTGTTTTCGTACAGGAACATAGCGCATAAGATCAGAGAGCATGCAGACACTCACGTGTCGTAGCCTCCTCGAACCAGTCCATAGGCATACGGTAGAGGCGCCTCAACAGACCTACATTTCGCCCCTGAGGGACGCCCTCGATAAACGCACCGTACGCAAGCAATTTATCGGGAAAGTGACCATAGAACACAACACGCTTTCCTCCGAGAATCCGTAGGAATGGAACGCACGTTGAGAGTTGGTCAACGACGAACACATCGTACTCCGCGACTACGCCAGTGTACAACAACGTGAGCGTTAAATGCAGCTGACGTGCGTGCGCGAAAACAATGTGCAATTTTCCCATGATCTCGCGCGGGAAGGGGGGCACGATATTATGCACTCGCAGAGTCCCTGTGGATGACTTCGTGTGTGAGGAATCGGAAATTTCGAAATTTCGAAAACTTGTGCTACGCACCATTGCGCGTCTCCTCAAAACAATGGTCGGGATTGTGGTGGGAAGTATAAATATCAACAGAATGACCAGCTTTTTGCAGGCCGAGCGCAGCATCAACGACCAGACGCTCAGCACCTCCTGTAAAATAATGAAAAACTGGATAGATTGCAGCAAACTGTGGCGTGGCTCACATACCGATGCCTAGGTCCGGATGGATGAAAGCAACGCGCAATGGTCGACCTGAACCCATCTGGCGATAGAATGAAATTGATGAAAGCCAAAGGAAATAATATAATCTTCAAATTTTAAATTTCTGGATATGGAAGTGAGAAAGTGACCACACCTGTCTCGGCACAGCCACAGCCATTATCGAAGTAGTGCGGCAGCAATAATCGGGTCAGTGACTCATCAAAACACGTCCGGTTCAGTGTCACTGTATACATATATGTATGAGAGAGGAAATATGTCTCAAAATTTTCGACAAAATGCCCTAGAAAAAGTCCGATTTTGCGGGAGGGGTGGTTTGGTCTTGTTTGTTTGTTTGCCAACAACGTGGTCTTTGTTCGCAATCAATTATGGAAACAAAAAAGACAAAGTTGTAAACTTTTTGCAGCCCACCGCGAGGGTCGAACTCGCAGCCTTCAGATGCACCAACCATGCTTAAAAGTCTGACGCTCTATCCGATTGAGCTAGGCGGGCATTAACATGACGAAAAGGTGCCGCCTTATAAAGGTATGGCGAAAATTCGCCATCACGAAGTTGAAATATTCTTCCTGAATATCGTAACGTCGACCAAGTATTAGTCGTAGTACTCCAAGAAAGCATATAACAGAGAGGTGTGCAACCAATTACATTTTATTATGCCTCCACCCTTCATCCCTACAATCTTCCAACAGAAATCTATACCAATACACAGCAATCGGCGCCGTGGTCAAGTGCCACAGCGCATGAGCATCCAATACCCGTGCAAAGGGAGGAAAGTCAAACAGCTCGAGCAACGTTGAAGCCATAGTGAGGATGACAAACACGCCTGCCTTGTTCACGAAGGAAGGGCGATAGACGGTGGATGCCAACGGAAACCGTTGGAAACGAATGGGTGATGCGTAGACAAGCCATAATGCATTGTGTAACATTCCAATCACGAGGCTGAAAGCCATATTGTAGGTATAATCAAAGCGCGGCAGGAGAGTGAGATAGGTGACATGCACAATAAACGCCGTCATGCATACGGCATTCCAGAGGCGTCTCACGGTCGTCCTTGACTTTCCAGACACAGAAGTGGAAAAGGCATCGTATGCAGGATATAGACGGAAGAGGCGTATCACGGTGTAATGGAAGGCACAAAGAATAGTGAGCGCCGCCGAAAAATAATCCAACTTTTCCGTGCTCGGAAGATCTGGCACAGTCCGACATTATTCTTGCCAACTTGCGAAGAACGACGCATACCTCGAGTGTGGAAGACAGCCGACCAGAGCCAGGTGTTGATGCTCACATAGGACCACATCACGTAATAAACCTTCATGGGATGCGAGTCCGGAATGCTTTTCCTTATTCTCGCGCCACCGTAAGCATGCGCCCAAAGGTTGAGCAGAGAGAACGCGACTGAGGCGGGTTCTTGCATGCCAGCAAGTCGCCAAAACGGCCATTTGCCGTAGTACTGCTGCACTCGAAAGCCAGACGTGATGGCCACATCGGTGATCGCATGCATACAGGTATACTTGCAATCGTCAGGGCAAGTCCACATGGTAAGTCGGAGGAACAAAGGCAGGACTCGTGGGCAGGCATCGACGGTGCACTTGTCGACACAGTTGCGAAATTCTACTGCACGGTCTCCTGAAGACGCCAGCGCCAGACCAACGCAGAGTATCAGGCATGATATTAGCCCTCTCATCGTTCAGCGTGCTTGAAGTAACCAAAGAATTCCCGAGTGTAGGTAGAAAAAAGTGGGTGCTTAATGGAAATGTGATGACGAGGACCAAAAGCCTGAGACCGTACCCGGACACCGGACGGTCGCCGGCAGATGATCATTGATCATGATGGCACACGGCGTTTGCCAACCTCACCCCGAGTTCACTCTGAACCACCATCTCAACATCGTTGAATGCTGGTTGCTTTTATGATCTAGCCTCTCATTTTATGTTTCCATGAAAGCTTATGTTTTATTTTATTTCATTGCATTATCTATAATTTCTATGAGTCCAGCTTGTCTGCGGCCATGGTACGAGTCAATCACGCCAATTCATCAACATTCTCTTCGTCGCCATACTTTAATAATCGGGGGTCGTATGGGACTGCCCAGCCGATTACTGAAAGAATAAACGTAAATTATTTCATTTTTTTGGGAAGAGTTTACCAAGCTGACAGATGTAAGCCGCACTCCCGACCCACGGTTTCATATTATTTTCCCAAGGATGTCGGTGCATATCACTATGGTGTGAGTATCATTCTCCACAGATGCGCAAGTTCTGTTTGTAATCTGAGTTAATATCCCAGGAAAAACATCCAATGAAGCCACATCGACTGACGTTAACAAACGCGCTTGTCATGGGCTACGGTCTTGATAAAAGAATCCATAAAATTTATGATGTACGCCCCGCGACACGCGAGGAGCTAGAGGCGTTTCACGATCACGATTACATTGAATACCTTTCCAAGTAAGTTACGAACGTCTGCACGCCACACATCAATATACGCATACAATTGATCGTTAGGGTCACACCACAAAACCAGGACCAGATGGGCGACTCGATAGACATTTTCAACTGTGGAGAGGACTGTCCAGTCTTTTCTGGCATGTATGATTTTTGTCGCATGTACGCAGGAGGTACACTTGCTGCATGTCGAAAGCTGTGTGCCGGAACGACGGATATAGCTATCAATTGGTCTGGCGGACTGCACCATGCGAAGCGCGGTGAGGCCAGTGGGTTTTGCTATGTCAACGACATCGTGCTAGGCATACTGGAGCTCCTACGGTTAGTCTTGTCCATTCGACTAGCATATCGTTCGTCGTCTTCATTAACTAATTATCTATTGCTGCAGCTACCATCCGCGTGTGCTGTATGTCGATATAGATATACACCATGGCGATGGTGTCGAACAGGCTTTTTATCAGACCAACCGAGTAATGACAGTATCTTTCCATAAGTACACGGGCGATTTCTTCCCCGGAACAGGCAAGCTCGATGATAATGGGCTCGGACTGGGAAAGCATTTCGCCTTAAATGTGCCTCTACTCGACGGCATAAACGACGACATGTACCTCACCGTTTTTAAATCCGTCATCGAGAATGTGGTCGACGCCTTCCGGCCGTCCGCAATCGTCCTCCAGTGTGGCGCCGATTCGTTGGGTTGCGACCGCCTTGGCGCTTTCAATCTTTCCATTGCCGCGCACGGCGAATGCGTTAGGTTTGTACACAACTTCGGCGTACCTCTCATGGTGGTTGGCGGAGGCGGCTACACCATCAAAAACGTCAGTCGTTGTTGGACATACGAGACATCCGTGCTAGTTGGCGCATCTATTCCCAACGAACTTCCTTCCACAATATACGACTCTTTCTTTGCTGACTCGGGCTGGAAGCTGCACCCGCCCCTCACGGGGAAGGTCGAAAACATGAACACACCGGTGTCATTACGGCGGATCACCACGAGTATCCGCAACAAGTTGAGGTATCTGCAAGGAGCCCCGAGCGTGGCGATGCAGGAGATTCCTCCGGACTTGCAAGGTCTAATGGCGAGCGAGGAACGGAATGAAGAAGAGAAAGACGAGGAGCGGGGGACGGGGACGGCTGGGGAGATACGAGCAGATCTGCATCGAGCGTCAAACGAGTTTTTCGACGATGACAGGGACGTCGATGCCCTTGAAGATGAAGTGTATTCACGACCACAAGGAAAACGCAAGGCATCACCCCTAGATATCCCTTCCACGACGACAACAAGTGAGGCTGACGATGACGATGACACTGATTACCGACAGGGCCGTAGTACTCGTCCACGGCGCGGCGGCAAAACAAGAGGACGTGGTCGACGTGGAAAGGCTAGAGGTCGGACAAGTGGCAGTTACGCCAGGATCCACATGGACCTTCTCGATACTGACGGTAATTCCTCGACCGTTGACACAAATTTATGACTGCGAATCCCGAATAAGAATAGGTATATTTTTAGTTCCGTCTAATATATACTGGCTGATTTTATCCGTAGTTTTGTTAGATGTCATTTCTTCGTTCTCGTTGCATCCCGTCTACATAGTCTCGCCAAAGAATGGTTTATTGCTATGTTATCGCAGTCATATTTGCTATCGTGCAACGTCTCATGAGTCCTTAGAAATTCGAATGCCGTGGCATGTCCCTGGTTTTAAATTCCTCCTTTGAATTGTCGTAACTTCTCAGCTTGATAAACACTGCATTTCGCACAACACTTCGATCGCATGGTATCGTGTGACCCTGTATGGTCAACCTCACTTCCTCCATTTTCCCTCCCTTTTCCTCTTTAGGTTCTTCATTCATCTAACCGTCAAGGACACCGATGGCCAGCGCGTACGTACCCTTTTTTTATATACGCCCACCGCTTCATGTGATCTCATGTGATCCCTGTAGGTGCCTGTTGCCCGGGCCCCGAATCGGCGCGGTCCATTCGGCGTTCCTTTTGATCAAATTTGCAAAAGGAAATTCCGATTTAGCGGTGATCATCTAGACCGGCGATAAGGGATGGCTCCATTCACAAGATCCATGAAGTTGTCAAATTTCTCAATGAACCTCTGTTATATTTTCTTAATTATGCTGTTGATATCGTCACTTATGTTTAGGATCCGTTGCGGAACACGCTTGGGATGAATGAAGTGGGGGCGTTGCTGAGCGGCAACCAAGGCGAACAAATCATTTCGGGCTCTTGGAGCTTGGAGGCTCGTAGATGCTGTCATGACCATTGGTTTGCGTTGTTTTCGACGTGATGACCGTACACTAAACATCTGCAACGCGGAGAGAATAGTACGACACTCGTTGAGTTGGTCGGTGCAACAGAACAAAAGCAAAGGTGCGTTGTTGATTCACTCGAATCTCGGTGATACCGTTTTCATCGACCGTTTTCATCGGCCGCAGCTGGCGGAAAACTGCAGTCTAATACTGCAGCTTCTACCGAGGCGACGGACGTCGGACTCTTATCGCCGCGAAACCCCAGAGGTCTGCAACCAGCTCAAGGACTGTAAAGAAAGTCATTGTGAGCTGTGACCGCTGCCAGCTGACGTGCTTGCCACGTTCATGAGTTTCCAGCTAAGTTTTCTGATCATAGCGCCTGATCTTACTGCAGCCCGCCGCCGAGGCTACACCTGCCCGCACCCGCGTGACAGGGCGCGTGGAGTCGGGCCCGCCTCTCAGATCTCAAGCTCGAAGCTCGGATACATCAAAAGTCTTGATAGCGACGTGCAACTCACCAATCGGTTACACAACATCCTTCGAACCAATGTCTGCCTAGCTTTAATACAGACGGACCGACGTTATCTTGTCGCAAAGATTTCTGGATTGTATAAACTTTATACCTTATTTCTGTTTCAGTGGTTTCTTCTCTTCCATGCATACGAAAGCCCGTGTAGGCTTGGAACTGCGTGTATCTTCGGCAGTTCTTCGATATCATCAATATCTTACGCATTATGCATCTTTCTATGCCCATCAATTGGGGTTTCTGAATTCCGAACTGAGCACGTAGCA